AAAAATAAAACCAGTTAATAGTATCGTTCGCAATGTTGCCTTTGTCCATGGATCAGAACAGGCGGCTATTTCCAGTAGTCTACCTCGTGCTACTGTATGCTCTTGTTCGTTGTCTTTTATGTTGCCCATGTTTTTAGCATAATATGTTTTGCAGTAATTTTCAAGAGATATTTTGGTTTATACTTTTTTCATGTTAAATAGGTAGACTGAGTGAACAACGATGATTTCATTGGGCACCCATTGGAAAAGGTTTATCATAACCAATCAGACTGGACGAAATGATTCTAATCCTTCTCGCCATCGCCAGTCGTGGCAAATGCCTAAATCAATTTCAATGTTTACACAAAATCCTGGAGAGTGCGATCGTCTTTTGGAAACTTATGTGACACTTATGCGCTACTGTCCGGCCTCTCGAAATGCGATACTTGATTCATTTATAGGAATCATTGATGATTACATGGATGAATATTATGCGCTCTGTGATTTGAGATATTCCGAACAGAGTATTAATGAGCTCTTCTATTTTTATTATGTTTACTTGTCCTTATTTGTTATCCTTATACTTCCAGATTCGCACTTGAATCGGGCTCCGAAGTTTGACTCATTGAAGCACACTAGATTCCACACTGACAGAGACGAAAGAATTCATTTACATTCTGATGTTCAAACCGGGCACATAAAGTCAGCAGAATATGCTGTCCTTAACTTTCTTAAAACGGTACTACTTTTAAGCTTATTGTAACAACCAGGTCAACGATGTTCTTTTAGGGCTAATAAAAAGCAAAAACCAGACATATCCTATAATTTGCTATGGTCAAAGCTCGACATTTATAGGGTATTTCTGTTTATGGGCTCTTCAGCGACTTATGAGAGTTACACCAACGGATGCTCATAATTTACGATTGATTTTAAAAATCGTTCGCTTAAAAAACCAAGAAGCGCTTATTGAGGTCAGTGCATTATTTAATCTATCATAGCTTCATTTAATTATTCAGAGCTG